CACTTGGATTAATACATATTTTTATCTCATTCATTCCCTATCACAAAACAGAGACAACAATATATTTAATACACATATCAGTGCAGTGGAATCCCTCATTTAGTTTACTTACACAATACAGTTACATGTGTAGAATGGGCGTGTACAATGACGGAGTTGCCCAAGCCGGGGCCCCTGTCGCCCATTCGTATTACATCAGAGCAATAATCATACCGGATATTCTTGATACACGTTTCAACGAATATTAGAATGTTGTCGTGTCGCGACAATCTTTTTATCGGCCCAATTGACGACAATTTAGTTCTGCTCTAGTCTTCATAGTCATTGTTTACGGTACGCACGTTCAATATTACTATGTTATTTGTTCAAGTAACTTATATTCATTTTCTATTTAAATTTAAGTAATAATAAGCCCTTTTTTTAACATACACACATACACACACTGATATTAAAGATATTCTAACACCCTAAATACACTACTATTTTGGAAGTATTCCGTGGTTTAAAGCAATTTTAATGCCAAATACATTAAAAACAAACTCGTTAATTATTTTTACAACTTTGTCACAAGTTTCACATTATTACAAGAACACTTAAGACAATACGTAAACGTCACGTTCTCTAGTTTATTATCTCATGCTATGTAGGAAGTGTGAATACCAAATAAGATATAATATGTAATATTAACATACAATGACAGTTATGTATGTGTGAGTTGGGTTTATATCACAAATATCGAACATTGCTCTGTTTAACTTTGAATATCGATTTATTATCGAATAACAATGTTATTGTAAATTATTTTTCTTTGTAGAGTATTCGCTAAGTCTCTTTTTAAGGTTGGCGATTGACCACGTAAAACCAAATTACATATTTAAAAGGCTACATCGCAACAAAACATTTGTTCCTTAATATATGATGAGAAGCACTGATTCTATGTTTTAAGTTCATCTTATCTTTTGTGCTCCGTCTAATCAGATTACCAAACCGTCTCCTAATCAAATCAGGACGAAGATTTCCTAGATGTTTGTAGTTAAGTTAGCTACTTACACAATTCTACTTAAGGTACAAGTACTAAGTAATAAAAATAATAATATTTTTACGACCATAAACTACGCCCTCAGGTATATTTTAAAAATACCGTTAAAGAATAGCTTAGCCAGTATTTGCACTGGATTATTTATGGGATAAATCTTTTGTCTGTTTATACTTTTATTATGAGACCGCTGTATGATGTTGCATCATGTCTCGGAAGACCATTATCCTTGTTTCTTAATAAAAATGCCGTTTCTACGAAATAGATAATATCAAATGAAGTCATATGCCGCATATTACGTAAATCTTTTGATCTATTTAATCAAGGAAATAACCTTCTATCGATCACTATAAAATAATCCTAGTAAATTTATCCAAAGAGATGAATTTGAAACATAAAGTTACAAAGAGCCATAGATGGATTCTATTATTAAATGTTAGCATTTCAGTGTATCTTCTCATTAAATGAAAACGAGATCAAAAAATAATATATAATATAAATAAAGTTTGTTAGCTCTAGTCACACTGATTCGGATAAGAGAATTCTTATTGTGTTTGTACAAAAGGGGAAATCATCTAATTCCATTCGCGGCTGAGAAATCCGATGTTGCGGCACTTTCACTACATCGAGCTGTAGCGTTTTATATTCAACGGCCGACGTACGATCGCAGATTTGAATTTAATAGGCAAACTTGACACAGAGATATCTGGATATCCGTTTATAACAACTGCATTACAATTCATACCGGATTTAACTTTCCTTTATCCATAAGTTACGAAATGAAAGAAATTTTACCAAGTTTTCGAAAGTTTTTAAATTGTTAATTGGAAATCTATAGGCTAAAGGTAATCACTGCTTACGCCAGAACACTTGTTTCTGTTAATTAATAAAATTAGTGAATATTATTTGAATTAAAACTTTGAAGCAATAGTAACTTTATTATTTAAGTTTTCTTTACTAAAAGTTTAATTTATGGTTTTGAATAGCGGTAGATTACTACTAACTGTAGGTCTACCTTCGTCTTGGTAATGTCGTCACAAACGTCAAATCTGGTAAATCAAACGAATAAAAATAAAATTTCTTGTCCGTTTGATTGTTCTGGCCAGTCGAGGTTTTATAATCAAATAAATATTATATCTTGTCAAGATTATAATTGTAGTTTAAAAATAAACATTAAGAAAACCTCCCACGATGGAAGACATAGTTGTTTCAAAGCAATTGACGTTCACAGGGCCGCGCAAACAAACAGTAGTGCAAAAGGAATTTGAATCCGGTATCCTTGACTCAGAAGCCAGAATCTTATCGATTAATCTGCTTCAAAAAAAGCATTACATACATTTCTCATTATAAAATCTCTACTTAATTACAAATGTGTTAAAATTTAAAAAAAAACGTATCAATTGCCTACTAATATCGGTAACAGGTGAGCGAAATTATTTTTGTCAGAGAATCTCATTCTAACTTGTTGACTCAATAATAAAGCATCATGAAATTAGCCTGTTTTGTAACAAGATAGTTGCAGTGTAAATTGCATATTTCTGTATAAAAACTTAATAAATATATATAAATTTTGTCAACGACATAGAGAAAATTGTTTAAATGTTTTCTTCAATCGGTTGTTTAATTATTACCGTAAGTTACTACTGTCGAAATATCCGTAAAGAAACATATTGTTATCTCAGTTTATGAAAGAACACGAAAATGATGACAATAAGTGATAATAAATTTAGTTACCGTGGGTTTCTAAGACCAAAACTCCCATTTAAACTAGTTTGTTATCTCTGTGTTGTAAAAAATAATAACAGGATTGACCATATGTTTTATACAGAGATTTTGGTCTCAGAAATCAACGGTTAGACAGAGATAACTCATTGTTACAGTATAGATAGATAATATAACCGAAATCCTCCGAAGCAATTAACGAGTCGCGTTGTTGCCGTGTTTGCAGCAAGAATTAGTATCGTCACTTGACACTAATACGAGAATTAGTGCCGCTGAACTGATCATTGATGCGAATTACACTGCGAAAACGACACTTAAATAACTTTTTTATCTAAAGTTTATTTTTAAACTACGTGAATGTACTTTTTATTATTTTAATGATCGTTATCGAAGAATTAAAGCAATGATTATGTATAATATTAAAGTAATATTTATTGATGTTCATGTCAACAAGCATTTTTCGAATTGTCTTTTAAAAAAGATCTTCGATTTTCAATGTTCAGAGTCGATGGGGTTCGCTATCTTTGGCAAAGCTTTGTGATTACTGAACTGATTTTCTTTCGTTGTCTTCATAATACTTGGTCCATTAGCTTTCAATCCTGCTACATCATTATGAATAAGTCAAGAGTAGATTAAATCTTAAAACTTAACAACGAATAGATAAAGACTTGTGAATTAACACAAAAAAATGAACGAGATTGCAATTACATAACTTCGTCCGGTTTGTTTTTTTATCTACATCACTTGTACTGTGGAACAAAAGTCTTACTCACCAAAGTTCGGCAGACGGGCATAAAGATACGGAATCGTATAACAACATTTGATCACTGACGACAGCAATTATCATACCTACGTAACGTTGACGAACCGGCTTCGTTTCCGGGATCGTTACTTGAATGAACATCGGAACGCGTCGCGAGTCTTGCATTGTGAAACTCGCGCTTCTAACCTAAAGCAGATGATCGACCTATGAACTGCTGTTATAAACAGTTCTTCTCCTAAACTTAGTATTAAAACTCAGGCTGCTGTGGAGATAGGTGAGGTTTACCAGCAAGACGTAAAACATTTTCATTCATACGTCGATCATTCATTTTAGTTAACATCCGTGACAGGAGTTTTTGTGCTACACGTTTACCTGCGAGTTCTCGATCGTAAACATGGCGAGCGTGTTATTTGTTCGGCTCGCATCGCATGTGCGGACGCGCCGTGATACGCGGCGATACTAGCGGCGACACCGAAAGCCTCCTCTCGCACGTACGTCGTACGCACACAACGCACGGCAATACAGTGAAGGGGAGAGCGGGGCGACGAGATCCGGGTTGCGCGCCCACTGCACCGAGCGGCCCCCAAACAAACGCGCAACGCTGACCTCTGTTTCGCCGTTTCGTTGCATCCGCCGTTAGATCCGGAAAAGTTAACCCTACTCTCTTTAATTCCACGCGAAGATCCGCGAAAGTTAAGTCGGCTACATACAGTACTTTCTTTATAATTCATTTGAAAGTTCATTTATTAAAAAAAAAAGTTATAAATACCTGCATTTAACATCATTTATTTTATTAACATAAACTGTATGGCAAAACAGTATAAGAATATTAAATTCAAACAATAACATGTTTTTTATTAAAAAATTGACACCAAACACCTGGCACTACACTAGAATGGAAGACATCAATAAGACATCACCAAGTAGCGAACTAGCAATCCAACAAGGTAATAAGATAATTTCTAATGTCCAGGACACAAATGGGACATGATACTTCTACATCTTATTTATGCATATAACTACATCTCCAGTGTTAAATGGTTAGTAAGATCCATTCCTGTTGTAGAATTTGAAGGAGAAAATTAACGCTTATGTTATCATTAAACGTGCATTAAATGTAATAGTTGACTTAGGGTTAAATAAGGCATAGAAATTAAACACATCCTTTAAACTCACAAATTCAGCCACTACTTTTAATAACCGTATAGAATTTATAAAGCTTTTTTGATATAGTTTGATATAACTCAATCTACAAACATTTGTTTACTTAATGATTGATAAGCTTTCAAGGAACTAAACAATACATAAAACAAAAGACGAGTATTTGATTCAAATAGCAAATTTAAAAATAACTTAAAACAACTAAATTAATGTTCAATGAAACATATTGGTATACTAAAATTATAAAGAAGACTTAACAAATTAAAAATAAACAATAACATTTTTTACAAGAATTAAAACATCCAAATTATTACTTACTTGAATTCGGCCGACAAGCTCGTAAGGATTAAAATTGCCATCCACTGGATTCAAATTGAACATAACATTGAAAAACACATATTCCGATTTATCTTTCGCGATCGCTGATTTATTCTCGGACAGCGTAACATAGTAAAAAGTTTCAACCAAATTAAGATATTTGCTGTAAAATTCGTTTAAATAAGAACGCGGCAGCGATATCAACAGATCGTTGTCGTTTGACATATTCGGTGTTAAGTACAACGATTATCAACACACTGCTATCGCATAATTTGCATCAAAAGAATAAATTTTTACACTATAATCACGAAACATATTTCATTTTTAACAATTTTCTAAGTTTAATGAGCACACATCGTCCAACTCCATTGACTTCTAAATCTAAATAAATATGTCACCTGTCATTGTCAGTTCACGTATAAACCAATCATTCACTCTTTTGAATGAACAACGAATAGAATTAATGTTGCTGTTGGTAAAATTCAACAAAAATTTGGTAGAATTCGTTCTTAGTTGAAGATAGTCTGAGAGCTAGCTGTTACAAATCCACTGCTATTTCAAATGTTTTGAAACAAAATCACATTACTTAAAATACACAAATTGCGATAATAAACAAAATAAATGTTAAACTTTTGTCTCGTAAGTTGGCGACAAAAATGTAAGGAAATTGACATAAGAGTTAATCATATATTACCTATTGGAGTCTATTACAAATTACTGAGTATATGGAAATGGTATGTATATGTGTTCCAATGTGTTTGTGAGTTGAGATATGACATTTTGATTAACTGATAGTAACGAGTGTGTTATAGGTTTGTATTATTTTCCGGAATGTATAGGAGATTGATCGATTGGGTTTTTTGGGATTATTTTGTAAAGAAAATAAAAAATACAATAACCTTACATTAATTTATTGCACTAAGGTAATTGAGTATCAAAATATCTTATAATTACACTACATATACATTTTTGGCATACTAAAATCAACTTGGCCTCTAACAAATATTGTAGGAAATATTAATACTAAGCATTGTTTTATTCTTAAATGAAACTTATAATTCTATTTAATTTATATAAAATAACAGATAATATTGCAGCCACCGCAAAATAAAAAGCCCCTAAAACTACCATACTGCGCATATAGCCGACCTTTACTTAGGACCTTACCTTCCATTAGGCACTGGGTAAAATATTTTTCGTTGTTACAAATAGAAACATTTTACTGTTACGGTACGCTATTCTTTGATCATTTAACTATTAAATGTTTCTGTTGATTTCGAAAATGTGTTAAGATATTATTTGAATAATGATCTCTCTTTACGTATAATAAATGCAGATTGATGGTATAAAATAACAATGAGAATTAGAAGTAAGGATCACATACATTCATAATCATTTTACGTTATTTAGCAATGATATCTCAAAACAATTAGATATTAGTAATGATTTAGAAAAATATTTCATAGATGAGCACGATCATATAACTTAATTATACTTGTAATATTATCTTGCATTAATTTCGGATATAAGTAGATGTCAACCAGTAATATTTTTTAAAGCTTAAAATCAATCGGAATAGAAGGAATCGTCAGAATCGTCGGTTTTGCTGTCCGATGGCGAAATATTTTCTCTATCTATTATGTCACAATCACGTTTATTTTTTCGCATACGACTGCGGAGCATTTTGCTTTCGTCGGCGCATTTGGTTGTTATACTGGTCCTTACAACGCTCTCCGGAACCCGACAGTTATCCACAACAGTTTGAACAATATCATTCACAAGCATTGGATTTAACTGTTTCTTTGCTGGCTTGTTTGGGAATGCTGGCGATGGTTTCCCCGTAAGAGAATGTGTTGCCAGTACACTGAAAAATAATAACACGTTATAAAATAAAAGATGTTACGTAAAAAGCAGTTGAATGTATCTTATTAAGTATTACCTTCTTGAAAACACTGCTCTCAAAAGTTTTCTGGTAGCATTCGTGTAAGAAGTCCAATCCATGTGTTTTAGTAAACGGTTTGGTACTAATGCATGTCCATCACCAATTGCAACCTGTAAAAATTGTTATTTACAGCCAAAAATTCAAAAGTTTGAACTACTATGAAACTTCTGTCCTGTGACACTTGTTTTGACACATGTTGATGTTCTTGTTTTCAACAACGTCATCGAAAATTATAGTGATAACAATATTTACTAAAAGAAATATCACAGTTGACACCGCCTATTAGATTCTTAAATTATTACAATGGTTTTATATTAATTACTTACCAAATCGCTGTTTAAATTAGTTTTGTTCTTAATTTTCAACGGTTTTTTATTGTATATTCTTATTCCATGGGACGTCACATTTTTCTTAGGTTTCTTTTTAGGAGACTCCTGAAAAAAAAATTACTTCATCTTCAAGATCATTTTGGCAATATGACATAATAAAGTTACCATTTAAAAAATTTACTTACGAAATCACTTTCAACGTAACTAGAAATACTGTTACGAACGTGTGATGATTGTCGCCTACCCGATGCACTCTCATTTGCATGTTCTCTCTTTCTTTTAATATTTGGTGATTTAGGTGTTTTATAATTAGATTTAGAAGTTGAAGGTGACGTAACGATTCTTTCAGATTTCACAGGTGTGATTTTAATAGACAACATATCTTCCAATGTGGAATCTGCTTCGGGCGCTGAATCACCGGTCTGCGTACTTGCATCACAAGCCTTTGTTCGATCTTGTTGATTGGTTTGGGATCCGCTTTCTTTGCAGAGTGATTCTAATTTTTTTAAAACATTCATTTCTTGGGTCGAGTTAAGTTGGTCACGACTCTTATAGTAGTTTATACCACGGCAGTACTTGCATACCTAAAATAAAAAATGACTATTATTGCAAGTTTGAACATGAGGTTGATGTAGCAAAGTACAAATTACAACTCTCATAATCTGACTATTAATGATTATCTCAATAAATGTCTGAGATAATCAATAATAGCAACAGTATTAGTTAACACTTACCAAAGTTTCAGTTTTTGGGATAGGCGTATTAGGTGGCGTTTCCGGTGAACTCTGCCTACGACTCGGTGTTTTCGATTCGGCCTGAAGAGTAATTAATTTTATCATCGTACATAAACCAACACACCAAAAACTAATTGGATAATTAATTCCGATGTTTTACGCAAGAACTTGTATAGAAAAAAAGATTTTTTCGTCTTAATAAAATGTATCTAGACTACTAATATTGTTACAATTATACGACAAAAATAATTGTATAACAAACTTACCGTCTTTGGCATAAATAACGCACTCAATATAAGTGTTTGCACTGCATTTCTTTCTCCTTCACTTAATGCGGAACTGTTAGCTGAAACAAAAAATTATATTTTTATTTTCTGAATTGTTTCTTGTGCCACGTGTTGATTTCTGCCTCAATAAATTAAACTAAACTAATACGGATGTGTTATATAGGGATATTTCTTAAGTTTAAATATTTGTTAATAACTCTTATCAATATTTAATATTAGATTTTCTTACAAGACTCAGCCCTAATCTCAATCTCTCCGCGTAAAGAGAGAAGCGCTTCAGCGGCATCCTGCATGTCCTGCATATTTGAGGTGGCATTCTCTGATACTTTGGCCTGTAACAGAAAAATTTGTTGAAATATGTACAGGTATTATCACATATATTAATATATTAAACTCACGACATATGTAACTAAAGTATAAGGAAAATTCTGCAGATGGATACATTTCACTTCAGAAGCTCACCGAATATAAATTAAGGAGAAATATTTAAGTAATGTGCAATTAAATCATTTATTGAAATAAATAATATTTTCGCATAGAAGTGATTTTTTAAAATAGAAATAGCTTTTATTCACAAATGAAATATCTTAAAACTACTCACAACAGACATGATCACTGTTTATTTTTACGAATAATACTATTTCCAAAGTCTTATTAGAACCAATCTAATATTTGTGAGAAGTTACATGGACAAACACTTGGGGAATACTGATTTAGTTTCACCACCTACTTCTACAAATCACCTACCCCGGTAGGGACGAGAATTAGGTGGTGTTAAGCTCTATTGTTTATCACCGGGCGGCGGCAATAAAAATATATCTAAGACTTGTTATTATTAGAGGTCATTACAATAGATTTCGCTGAACCAAAATACCTGTTGTCTATTGTTTAAGCAAATCCTCGAAAATCATTAACTTTTTCCATAATAACTTTCGCAGTTAATCTGCGACGTAATTAGTTAATGACGTTTACTTATTGTATGAAATATTTCATTTAATAATTTCTTACTTTCTGTTATTGGAATTAAATAAGTATATAGCTTAAATGAATCAAATAAGTAGATTTTATATTGTAGAGGAAATACTTAAAAGTTTTACGCGTAATCCTAACATACTATTGGAATCCAACTTTTCATAACAAACTTTACACATTTTATTTATTTTACATATTAATATATTTAGCAAGGGAAATTAGAACTTCCATTTAATATAATAAGTTGGCTCCTAAACTACGGTAATAACAAAACTTGTACTAGTGTATAAATAAATAAATCATTTAAGGCTGTAGCTATGTCCGTTTACCTAAATAGTTTTAGATAACAAACAGGTATAATTTATTTTATCCTATACTTCTATAGTATATTTCTCTAATTTTATAATAATAATACATTTTATGATATATTTGATATACTGGTCCAGAGTGGCGAATTTTAAAAACGACTCGGAGGAAATATACAAACATGCAGGTAGGTACGTAGTATTTTCAATTTCTTAAAAAGGTGTTTTTTGTTGCTGTTTCAAAACTATGTAACAATTAAATGTACATTTAATTGTTACGGTATTATGGAAAGTGGCCACAGTTTTGTACGATAAATCAAAGAAACGACAGAAACTTGTTTTGATTCGGAGCAATGATATCGGTTAAATTTTCCTATTAGGATATTGTTGGATATCGTGTACTTGCAACAAATAATGGATAAAAATTCATATAAAAATTGCTTTAATATTGCATTTCAATGAAATTTATTTTTTCAAAGTTGTTTCTACTACTGATAACCTCATTGTTTCATCCTGTCGTAATACTTTAAGATAAAGTAGACCTAAATAGTAAGTTCTGTTAAGCATTTATGACCGACGCCGAGTGGTATTGTTAATTTTTTTCTTCACTTTGGGGAAGAGTCCCAGCTGAAATTTACTTTGGGGTGTTTAGGGATGCGCCCATTTTTACCTGCGAAATAGTATGTACCTTTTTGGTTCAGTTGAAGTTGCGATCTATTAGTGATTACTTGTGCATATTATAGGTTAGTTTAATATGTCTCAACATCTTTGGTTGCTTGTAGAATGGACGGAGGAAGCAGTCTTTTCGTCTTATGGTATTGTTAACGCTAATTCCTTGATTAGTGATGGTAGTGACGTACATGTTGGTAAGGTAGTTAACATCAGGAATAAACATGGCAACGGTATTCGGAAGGCACAGATCCTCAGGATATCTGGTAAGTCTTTAAGACTTATTTTGTTTTTTATTCTTTTGCTAACTGTACACTAAACAGTTTTTATAATATTAGTATGCAACATGATCAACTTACATACTTTGTGAGGCTATTTAGTGATTTAGAATTACAAATATTTACTGATCTGCATATTACATTTTTTTTTACTTTCTGCAACTGCGTATATTTTTTCTAGATAACAAAAGTTACGTTAAAGAACTTAAAACATTATTGGAGAGACAAGACCAACAAGTGAAGAACGTAGTTTCATTATGTGTTAACACTATAAAAGAGATGAAGAGTGTGCCCGGAAACTTGGTAAGTTAGTCTAGCAATTACAAATATAATATAGAAAACTTTTATTTATTCCATTTAAAAAGTTTGCTAATAATCTATTTTATATGTATTTCAGTTTTTGGGTGAAAGAAGTAGCGCTCGTCAATCTGTTCCTAGTCCAGTTGCTTGTCGTTCCTCGCAACGCTCAAACGTCCGTGACGATGAAACATCAGACAGTGAGCAAGAGGTATATTATCTAGATAAAATAAATTTATAAACTAAATTAAAGTATAAACATTAAATTATAATGTTGTTATTAATTTCAGTCGAATGTCCGCAGTTTTAACGGATCGACAAATAAACAAAATCACCAATACAATAACATAGCGGAGTCATCTCTTGCCCTTTACAACAATCTATCGTTCCATCACAGCAAGAACAACCCATTGCTGCTCACCAGCACACCACTAGCGGAGCCAGTTCTAGGAAAAAAGATTAAGATCAACGAAAATTGCGATAAAAGTACACAAACTGACCTCACTGAAAAATTACCTACTTTATCAGCGATCGAAGATGTAGAAGTGGTAGTTCATAGACTTTACAAGCAGTTCACGACGTTAGTATCGAATCTTCCTTTAAACGATGCCGTACCTATGATGTCAGAGACATCGGACTGGGAGAGAACTTTACCGAATCAACAATCAATTACGAGTGAATGTCCTACTTTAAAAGAAGATTGGATTAGTCAGAATATGACCACAACTATTCGCGAAGCGGATCCTTCGGAAGCCGTGGGAATTCGCGTGAGGCGCGCTTCCGCCCACACTACAAATATAGGTGAACCAGTCCCAAACAATACAGATATGGTAAACAATGATGTTCTATTTATGTTATTCGTTCATTTATATACCGTTAATCCGGTGTACTTCTTTTTTAATTAACTACTAGTCAATAAATTAGAAATTAATAAGATGCTGTATAAAGTATTTCATAATTTTAGGTTCCGATAGGAAACGGTAGTGTTTTGGTGCCACACAAACTTCTTGAAGATCTGGATTGGAGTTCATATACGAGCGTTACAAGACAACTGTTACAAGCTGTGTTTCCACGCAGGTAATGATGTTCAACAAGGTGTAATATGATTACACTGATATTCAAGTCTTTATTACCGTTTACATTTCTATCGATTTTTATTTCACACCAGATTTACGTATTTCAGAGTACTAGCGACCCATTCGCTTTCAGGAAAGCAATCACCAGCTTTCGCAAATAAACCACCTAAGAAACGTCTCGATCCAAAGTTAGTCGATGACATAGTTGATACTGTTTCTCTAAGATGCGGTGTTGATAAAAGACTAGTAAGGTGGGTAAAGGAACAACGTTTAATACCGTTATCGTATCTTACATAATAAGCTTCATTAAGATTTAAATGAAATATTTATTAAAAGGAGCTCTTTTCGTCAATTATTATAGTCTAAGTACTCGTTAAAATTATTATTTAATCATTTTGAAATCAATTTCATTTTCAGAAGCTGTATTACGACAAAATGTACCGACGAGGCGAAATTATATAGAAATCGCCAACATTTCAAACATTTGCGCCAAATGAATCATAATCAAGAAAACGCATTAATGTCGTCTGAATCGTCAAATGCTTCCTGAATTTCAAAAAAATTAAGAAGCTTACGTTATTCTTATATTTTTTTGACTTGTCAATAAATGAATTGTGGTCCAAATCATTTTATTTCAATTTGTGTAAAATCCTTGTAATTTTACAATAAATGAAATTATGTTAATATTGAGGAAACTTTATCATTAAATCGCTTTTTTGTAACATGCTTCTCCTTATCATTTCGCTTGCCTCACAGTTTGTAAAATCTCCATTTGAAATAAATAATATTAGTCTGAAAACAAATTTAGCTTAAATAAACTGATATGAATATAGTACCAAGACGATATGTGTGAACTCAACCAACCCTCACTGGGCCAGCACGGTTGACTGAGACGGAGTCACCTCAAACTTGGGGTAGGCTACGAGCCGCTTGGTGAGTAATATTTTTTTAACCTTTAACTGCCTTTAACCAAAGAGTATATAAAATACTTTACATGCTTTAACTTCAGTTGAAATGAGTTTAGTTCTATGGTTTAGTAGTATTTATAAGTGTGAACTGGTATAACTGATTGTCTATTGTAACTAGGTAACTTGTTGAATTTAACTGTCACTGTCAATTTTCACATTCACAAATAGGTTAGTATTTATGATTCGGATTATTTAAAGGTGCATGTGTTTGTCTTTAGAAACTAAACTAAGTAATGATGGAGGAAATAGATGTAGACTTTGTATCGTCTGAACACGATCGCTTACTAAATGCAGTTACTAAATTAGACAAAACTCAACATATAACTGAACCTACACGTAACGAACCAACAAATACTAATTCCGAGTTTAATTTAATCAAAAGATCAAATAAACTTAACTTAAAAAATGTTGCGAAAGTATTGGAAAACAAAGCTCATCATGTGAAAATAAGCAAAAAGTTGAAAGAAAGTCAAAACTCTTCTAAAATTCTTCCAAAGCCAATAGAGAAACCGGAGGCAGAACGTATAAAAAGAAGCACTGGCTACCAACAAACGAAGCATAAAATTGGACGATGGGATCCGGTCGTTGCACGCAATCGTACAGTAAATTTTGTGTCCTTTCCATTAAAACGTGTTAGTTCGAAACTTCAACCAACACATGAGTTTTTATCTAAGTTGAAACTCAAGTCACCACTTGAAAGAGAGTTAGACGAAGTGGATCCACCTATTCCTGAGGTGCCAGACGAGGAGGAGAAACCTGAGTACCCAATGTCTTATGAAGAGATGCTCGAGCACAGGCGGCAGCTAGCAAAGTTACGAGCCCAGCAATCATACAAAGCAGCTAAAGCTAAAAGGCAGAGTAAAATTAAGAGCAAGAAATACCATCGGTAAGTTAAAATATTTTCTGGATTTGATTATTTACAAAATGTTTTCTTTAATGAACAACATAGAACTAGTTATAATAAAAAGTAAACTCACAAAACTCATTGGCACTCCTAATTCAAAGGCATTTGAGGCTAATTTTTATATCTGTTGATTTTTCAGCATTTTAAAAAAAGATAAATTAAAGCAACAGTTAAAGGAGTTTGAAGAATTGCAAAGTAAGGATCCAGAAGAAGCTCTAAAGAAACTTGAATCACTTGAGAAGGCTCGAGCATTAGAACGGCACACACTAAGGCACAAAAACACTGGGAAATGGGCAAAAAGTAAATTGATAAGAGCAAAGTATGATAAAGAGGTAAATTTTTATTGTATTGGCTATTGGAACTTTAATATGAGTGTGCACATTTCCTGAATTTATGTATTACAGACATACATGAGAGACATAATAACTTCCTTTTTCTTTTCAGGTGAGACAACAGTTAGCTGAGCAATTGGCAGTCAGCAAATCTCTTACACATAAAACAGTTGATGCAGCAAGTTCAGATGACGATGATGATACCAAACAAGAAAATCCAGACTTAAAGTTATTACAAGATCCAACAAACCCATGGATGATGAAAAGATCTGATAAAGATAATGTGGACTCGGAGTTCGATTTTGGATACAAAAAGTATCTCAAAGATAAAATGTTAAAACGTAAAGAACTTAGTGATTCCGAATCGGAGGATGAAAAAGCAGGCAGTAGCACTAAAAGTAATAATGCAATGAACATCCTGAAGAAGAGTGTTAATACTTTAAGTGAAAATGTATATGAAACACATGACAAGACTGCAATTAACAAAGCTAATGAACAACCTAAAAGAAAAAAAAGTAAATTGTCGGAAAAAAAGCTATCAAACAAAGAGGATAAGGTTGGAGCAAATGCTAAAATAGTTGCTACAATTTCAAATTGGTTTGTTGAACCCGTTAATATAGATCAAGGAAATGCATCAGAAGATATTTCTAACATATTTGAATCATTTGAAAACAAGCTTGCTGACAAGGTGACTAAAAAATTAAACAAACTAAAGAAAGATCTTGATAAAACAAAAACGAAACCTAAACTTCAAAACAAAAAAGAAACTCTTAAACCAAAAAAAGAATATGGTGTTGAATATTATGAATTTAAGAAACAAAATGAGAAACCCATTATTGATGAACCATTACTTGAAACTACTGGTAAAACTAATGATGTTGAAACTGAAACAAAATCTTTAACTAAGATATTAACCACTGAAACACAAGAGAATCCGAATGCCAACATTGACCCTAGTAGGTTTATTGTAGTCAAACCTAAATATTTGAATACCGCATTGCCAAAAGATGTAAATGAATATGATGAGTTAGATGATGATGAACAAGTTGTTCCAAAAATTGATATTGAAGAAGTTTTTGAAGAGGATGATGTTGTTGATAGTTTTAGACAGGAAAAAGAAGATGAAATCAATAAGGATAAACCACAAGACATTGACTTAAGTTTGCCAGGTTGGGGCCAATGGGGGGGTAAAGGTGTTAAAGCTCCCAAGAGAAGGAAAACGCGATTTATACTTAAAGCACCGCCTTGTACACCACGTCGTGACGAAAATAAGGGTGACATAATAATAAAAGAGTACAAAGACCCTAAACTCGCTGTGCACAAAGTTTCTGATGTACCATTTCCGTTTAAATCTATAAAAGACTATGAAGCTTCTCTTCGAGTTCCACTGGGCAATACCTTTATCACTGAAAAAGCCCATAAAAAACTTATCCAACCTAATGTACTAACAAAAGCTGGTACTATTATTCAACCAATGGATGAAGATGAATTACTTATTCGAAAACACCAGCAATTTAATAATGATCCTATTATAAAATTATTAGGACAGAAATAAAAATCTATTTTTTTATGTACTTTTATTATCTATTTCAAAGTCCAACTCGTACTGGAGGTGATACAAGTATAACACCATCACCTCTTACAAATAACATTGGAATGTTCCGTTTTGTTGTTCTATAAACTTCTTCATATGTCTCTTCATCAATTTCAACTGTTGTAATTGTTTCCTCCGCATCTCCCAAAACCATGTTCAAATGTTGATCATAAGCCTGAAAAAAGATTTGAAGCTGTTAAATGGTATGGCATATATAAATAGACAAAAATGGGTGTAACAATTAGATTACTGTTTTACTTACATGTAACTTGCCTCGTAATTCTCGTTCATTTCTCATTTTAACGTAAATCCTCTCATCTAAGCTTAGCCTTATAAGGTCTAAGGGTTCTTTCACAGTCATAACCGACACCTGAAAATTATAAAATTCTTTAAAACGAGATAAAACTGAGTATGTTAAATATATTTAGTACTGGTAAAATTAGCGTTTACGTTTTCGCCATCATCTGCCATACTGCGGTTTTTATTTTTCTTGCAAATATACTAGTAATCGAATAAATTTATGCTATTTGATGTTTTATTTCATAAGTAATTTGAAAATCGGAGAAAAGTGAAAATTAAGTTAAATTAAAGGTTATGTTTTTATTTGAAAGAAGGTGGTACAGAGTAAAAATGAGTTGTACGCCCAAAAATTTTTTTTGCGTCCATTAATATAAAATCTGGTTTTGTTTCAAATACGAAATTCGTATTTTGAAAACTATTTACTTGAATAATTAGTCGACGAAATTTTATACACAATTATCATTTGGAAACCATGAGTTTCAAAATAATTATTTGTTTGCGTCAGTTTGCATTTTATATTATCTGTATAGCGTTTGTCATTTCGAATCATAACCTAGAATAAATAAAATATATTAGAAATATGTTTGGTTTGTGTTTGTATATAAGAATTTAAATAACAAAACTGTTTTTTTAATGTGCTTGTTTGCACTTAAATAGCTGTAAAAATAAATAACTTTTGCCAGAAGTAGCGATGGTTAGAAGCGGGTAAGATAGTAGTTTTGGTACATAATATTCCGTAGGACTTTGTAGTCCTACGGAATGTAATTAATATTTGTATATTAATTATTCGTATTTGAATGTATAACAGGCGAGATCGTGATAGAGACCGCGATCGGAGGCGTTCTCACAGCCGTTCAGCTTCACCTGATCGTAAACGGAGACGCTCACGATCACGGAGTAGAGATCGCAATTCAAAGTCATCTAAAAGGAAACGTAGCCGTAGCAGAGACAGGGACTCCAAAAGAGACCGAAGCAGAGACAGAGACCGTGATAGAAAGAGGTATGTTTTTATTGTAAACATTACAGATTGATCAGTAAACATCGTTGTTTACTGTTAAATGTTTGTATTCCTGCACCACATGATTCTCGGAAGAACAGATAGTGACAAGGGAAATATATACCAAAAAGTGAGCGCTATTAGTCACTTTGTAATTTGAGCCTGCTTAACAACATGATTGATATTGCTTTACATTTATATTTAAAAAAAGTTAAAGTCTACTGAATTCGATACTTACCTGTAAAATGTACTATGTATTACTCATATTGAATTGTAAATTAAAGATTCATAAATCTTCTCTTGATTATCTAGTGACAAGAGGGATGACAAAAGAAATGGAAGTAAGTCATCAAGGAGAAAGTCACCCGACAAAGACAGAAAGGATAGGTCAAAATCCAAAGAAAAATCTGTCAAAACAGAATCTGGAGATTATAATCTGGGCACAGTTGATAAGGTAAGAAAATTTCTTGATTGGCGGAATTTCCAGTATTAATGTTTTCTACAATAAAGTTATTTAACACAAATTCTGTATTAATGTTTTAATATCAACAACAAATTTTTGATAATTATTTTCCAACTTCTATCTAAAGGAGGCAGAACAGACTCGTTTAGAAGCTGAAATGCAGAAGCGACGAGACAGGATTGAGCGTTGGCGTGCGGAACGAAAACGTAAAGAGTTGGAATCTGCAAAGAAAGAAGTGCAGAAAGGTAGCTTAGTGACCAACATCCAAGCACCAAGTACAAAGAAATGGTCGCTAGAAGATGATTCTGGTGACGAAGGTATGAATACACGTAACAAAGCAAATAAAAAAATCATGGGATTGGTGTGGACATGATAATTTAAGATGAAAGAAATTGTAACTTTTTACTTTTGGTATCATGTATAGAATTTTAATTTTTTAGACATAAGTTTTTTTGTTTCTAGGTGAAGATGGAGAAGGAAAAGAGAAACAAATCATTGAAGAGAAAAAAGAAGAAGAAGATGAAATAGATCCGTTAGATGCTTATATGCAGGAAGTTCAACAAGTTAGTATGCTTTTTAAATCAAACAGTTTTTTAATTGTTTCCATGATTTGAATTAGTACACTCGGTTTAATCTTTTTTTTTCAGGAAGTTCGTAAAGTCAATCAAATGGACCAGTCACGAGGCCTTTTAAGTGTTCCGACTGCTGGAGGAGGCACTGGTGTGGTTATTTTAACGGGGACTGCTAAAAAGAAAGTGGTGGAACAAAAGAATAAAGGTATGTTTTTTAAATTATGTAAAAACAAATGGCATTTTATTAACACATATATTTATGTAGAGGAAAAAGTGTAAAGTAGTTGTTGTATGTATTTACATAATAACATAATAGTAATATAAGTTGGTTCACCTGGTAATGATGGGCAGGATCAAAGGCTGGAGGCCTGCTTGACTGATAAATAAGTCTTAGCAATGCAAGATTTTCAACAATTATTTAACCGTGAGTAATTCCACAGGTGAATTAATCGAACAGAATCAGGATGGGTTGGAATATTCATCAGAGGAAGAAACGGAGGATATAAAAGACGCAGCGGCCACACTTGCCTCAAAACAGCGAAAGGAACTGGCTAAAGTAGATCATGCCAGTTTACACTATATGCCGTACAGGAAAGCATTTTATACTGAGGTTAGTATTGTTATTGTGTAAAATTTTGGTGGTAAATAATGTAATATGCAGATGTAAGTAACAATTTTTATGAACTCAGTAAAATTATATAATAAGAAGTATGTGACATAGCTCTTTCTGTGTATAAAAGTGGACTATAATTTATAGTTCAATGAATTGATTTTTGATAAAGAAATATCTTTATCTACGTCCACACTAACTTTAAATGTGTCAGATTTCAAGTTCATTTGCCCCATATTTACCTTAAAAAGTGGTACTAAGTTTTTGGACTACATATTAATATAATGATTAATTTAATTTAAAGACATAAACTATAGTTATACTATAAAAACATTACTGTATGTTCAAAAATTAGTCCGATATTGTATGTTAGGTCCAAATTATTAACAATTAACTACCATTTTTTTTGTAGGTAAGTGAGTTATCCAGAATGACTCCTGAAGAAGTAGAAGCATATAGAACAGAGTTAGAAGGTATAAGAGTTAAGGGCAAGGGTTGTCCGAAACCGATTAGGACATGGGCACACTGTGGTATTAGCAAGAAGGAAATGGATATACTAAAGAAATTAAACTTTGAAAAACCCACACCAATACAAGCTCAAGCGATACCGGCTATTATGTCTGGGAGGTAAGGTTTACAATAGCTGAACAAGACTTGACCATATTAACATAATGCCCAGTTTACTTTATTCCAGTCCAGTAATCGAAAACAGCGCGGAACTGGAATAGTAAAGCCGTGCAAAATGACATTTTTTTACGATTAAAAAATGATTTTTAATAAGCAGGGTATAATTCCTATAAAAACTTAAAAAATAATACTTGTAATTTTTTTTGTATCACTAATTAATATTCTCTAATATATTTGGGTCCCTAAAATTTAAAACTTAGCCTACTTTATAGATTCTTCTAACATTATAAAACTATGTTAACAAGATGTATTTTTAATTTAAAAATATAAACATATTTCAAATACATATATATAAAAAATAATTCTTTGTAATTCTATTTGCAGAGATTTAATAGGTATTGCTAAGACTGGATCAGGTAAAACTTTGGCGTTTATCTTACCAATGTTCCGACATGTACTGGACCAGCCAGCACTGGAAGACACGGATGGACCAATATCACTCATCATGACCCCCACTAGAGAGCTGTGTATGCAGATCGGCAAAGATATAAAGAAATTTGCCAAATCTTTAGGACTGAGAGTTGTTTGTGTTTACGGTGGTACTGGAATTTCTGAACAGGTTGGTATATAATTATGTTATAATTTTACCAAGACTTTTAGTTTTATAAAATAAGGATTTAAAATATACCTCTGTAGCAAAGTTCAGACAAATTTTCTTATTTAATTGTAAAAAAATTTACTTGTATTTAATTCACCGTTCTAAATCAATAATAACTATAAAAAAACAATTGGTAACAACAAAAGAGATAAAAAAATCTTTTGTTTTTAATAAAATAGTATTATTGACATTGTCTAGAAAGTTTTTAACAAATATTTAAATTCTATTTGGTACAAAGTATACTTATTATTGAATTTTCTTACTTACTCGGGTTGGCATGTGCCGAGGACAACCACAGAACCAACAATAGAGCGAGATGCCCTCTAGTCTATTATGGGAACCTAGGCAGATATATTTACAATTCGATTATGTGTTGTATTTAGATAGCGGAGTTAAAGCGTGGTGCAGAGATGATAGTGTGTACTCCGGGACGTATGATCGACATGTTGGCGGCTAACTCGGGCCGCGTCACAAACTTGCGTCGCGTCACATACGTTGTACTCGACGAGGCAGACCGCATGTTTGATATGGGATTTGAACCACAAGTGAGATTTTATTATGTGTTTTTATATAAAGGAGTAGTTTCAGTAAATAATTTTTCGATTTTTTGAGAGCCAATCTCGGATATACCTGTTCGCTTTTGAACTATATGGAAAAGAGATGGGCTCTATTGAATATGAAGATTAAAAAAAATCATAATTAGTAGCCTATGTCTTCCAGGCTATGTTCCACATCTGTGTCAAATTTCAGTGATTTCCGTTGATCTGTTCCGGTGATACCTTCAAATATCCATCCATCCATCTAAACATTCGCATTTATAATATTAGTAAGATTAATACAAAATGTTTGTTTTAACTGTAAGGTAATGAAGATAATAGACAACATACGTCCGGACAGACAGACGGTGATGTTCAGTGCTACCTTCCCGCGTCAGATGGAGGCGCTCGCACGACGGATACTGCAGAAACCTATTGAGATACAGGTATACTTTAGACCAATCCTTTTTTCTAAACCTGGCTATAATAAAGCTAATGATATTTATTTAATCAATAAAAAAAACATATAGGCAAAAGTGACGGGCATTTGGTGACGATACAGGATGTTCAGAAACAACATATTACTTTGAGGAAAGTTGATATATGGTGTTCAATTCCGGTCACTATTTTCTGTTACTTTGAATCTTTTTAGGATTGTAGTGTATTTTAATAATTCATCTACTACATTAATATCTTTTCCCAGAGTGTTTTTTCTATATATACATGTGTTTTTTTTTCGTAGGTCGGCGGCAGAAGCGTAGTCTGCAAGGAGGTGGAACAGCACGTGGCTATATTAGAAGAAGAGGCGAAGTTCTTCAAACTTCTCGAACTGCTCGGCCTGTACAGTCAGATGGGCAGCATCATCGTGTTTGTGGACAAGCAGGAGAACGCTGACAGTCTGCTCAAAGATCTCATGAAGGCTTCCTATTCCTGTATGAGCTTGCATGGAGGTAAGTCATGAGATGTTATTGTTAGGGGGTTGGTAAGGCGCGAGGGGGGGGGAGCTTCTCTTCATAGAGAATAGAAAAATGCTAAATAGATATAAAAACTATTTCGAAGTAGACAATATTATTGCTAGCTGAAGACGTATCAATATTTCTGCGTTTGGTCTGATGCGTGTTTGTTCCGGAGGCCTAATTTTTAGTCTATGTTCCCTGCCCACCTTCTTCTAGTAATCATAAGGATGGGAACGGTTAGTGGTATTTGCGGAGAAGGGGACGAATCGAAAATTTTTCTGTGCGTCCTCTCCTCTGTCGAGAGCTTGCTCGTTTGCCAAAAAAAATGTTAAATGAAATAAGAAAAAGTGAGATGGAATGTGAATGTATCGTGATATACATGTGTATTTATACTGGCCTGTTACAGGCATTGATCAATTCGACAGGGATTCCACAATAGTTGACTTCAAGTCGGGCAAGGTGCGGCTGCTGGTCGCCACCAGCGTCGCGGCGCGCGGCCTCGATGTCAAACAGCTCGTCTTAGTTGTTAACTACGACTGTCCCAATCATTATGAGGATTATGTGCACAGGTATTTAAACTATAAATTATACATTAAATGGTTGTTTTCTGAGACCATACTCCTTTTATAAAACATATTGTTATTTCAGTTTTGTCAGAAATAATGAGAGTGATGATATGTTTCAGACAGGGATTTTGGTGTCAGAAACCAATACTTACTTTGATTGATGCTAGACTCTACAAATATGTCGATTTATTATTAATATAAGGGAAATAGAAAATAAAGTAAAGGCATATTAAATATGTAAGTTTTTATTTTTATTATCCGTTTTGATTTTTTGCAAATTAGAGAAAAATGTAGTATGGTTAACAATAAATTAATATTGAAATTTACATCTTTTATACAACAATTTATGGTCCTTGGTGTAAAACTTAAATTCCACACTAAGGGCTCCGCTTAATAATGTAAACACATGACAGATGCGGTCGCACCGGTCGCGCGGGCAACAAGGGGTACGCGTGGACGTTCCTGACGCCGGAGCAGGGCAGGTACGCGGGCGACGTGCTGCGCGCCTTCGAGCTGGCCGGCACCGCCCCGCCCGCTGAGCTGCGCCAGCTCTGGGACAGGTACAAGGACGCGCAGGAGAAGGACGGCAAGAAGGTCCATACTGGAGGAGGGTTCAGTGGGAAAGGTAAGGACTCTATACAAAATTGAATAAAATCAAAAAAAAAAACATTTTAATTTTATCGATCTTCTTTTTAATATGTGCTTTAGAAAAACTCAAGAACATTATTTTTTTTATTGATTCAACATATTTATGCGTAGGCTTCAAGTTCGACGAGTCTGAGGCGCAGGCGGCGACAGAAAAGAAGAAGTACCAGAAGGCGGCGCTGGGGCTGCAGGACTCAGACGACGAAGACGTGGAGGGAGACCTGGACCAGCACATCGAGACTATGCTCGCTGCCAAGAAGATCGTCAAGGAGATCAAGGTATTGTCATATCAACCCTACGCTCAGTCGCTTAAGATTTACTCTTTAACTAAAAATCGTTGTAATCTTCTTAAACATTGAGTTAAATATAATTCGTTTGCAATTTATTTACTTATTTAGTAGCCAGACGTATTTACTTTATTTCTTAATAAGCGGTTGCCCGCAATTTTATCAGCACAGAGTAAAAAAAGTAGCCTATAATATGTCTTGCATCCAGCTACTTTCCCTTTAAAGTTCCGTCAAAGTCAGTCCAACCGTTCTGGCGGCTTTGGGGACAGAAATACAGATAAATATGATAATTTATTTTAATGTAACACACAGACATTCCAATTTAATTAATATAATTAGGCAAAATGTAATATTTTGTGTCAGCCGGGCGTGGTGGGCGCGGGTGTGCCGGGTGCGGCTGTTCCGGGCGCGGCGGACGGCAAGCTGGAGCTGGCGCGCCGGCTGGCCTCGCGCATCAACATCGCCAAGGGGCTCGGCGCAGAGCACAAGGGCGCTACACAGCAGGCCGCTGAGGCCATACTTAAAGGATCTCCTTCTACTCACACCCTCATCACTGTAAGTAACAAAAATACTATTGAGATTGCGCAGAACAACATTTTTGAAATATCGGGGTTGGAGGTAAAGGGATGCGGGGCTCTCCCCTCTACCCTCTAGTACTGGACCTTGAGTCCTTAGAATGTTTGAAAAAATTGTACAATGATTAATAGTTATGAGATATAATGGTCGATGATATACTGAGAGGAAATAATTTTATGGAAACTAATATTATATGTAAAAAAAATGACACAATCAGTAGTTATTCAGTGTACTAGAGGTCACAATAGAATGAAAATAAATAGGTCTGATTCATCTTTTGGAAATGTGTGACTCATGGATTTGAATTTTTCGGACGAGTGTAGATTAACAATTTGTTATTTTTTTATAAAAGTCGATGTAATTTATTCAAAACTTTTCTTTGACTCAGTTTTGCATATTAAGTAAATAAAAAAAAACACAATTTTTGTAGTACAAAGTAACTTTTTATTTTTTGGAAGAACTAATATTTATTTACTTATACTATTTCTGGCTAACAAAGTTGATTTTGATTCAGGCGAAGACTGTGGCTGAACAGTTAGCTGCTAAACTGAACACCAGGCTGAACTACCAGCCGCGCGACGAGAGCAACGCGGATTCAGCGGAGGAGGTGTTCCGGAAGTATGAGACGGAGCTCGAGATCAACGACTTCCCGCAGCAGGCGCGCTGGCGGGTCACCAGCAAGGTAACTGCAACAATAACAATTACATTAACAACAGTAACAACAATACTAACATTAGATACAACAATTGCAATCAGAAAATATAGATTTAATGTTATTTGATAGCGACCGAACCACCCTTGTTATGGTGTTCCGTATGCACTGCTAAAACTTTAACACAAAAACACTAAGAAAAAAACTTGACAGGATTCAATTATTGTCACTATTTTTTGTCTTTATTGTTTTGTTTTCATTTATAATATTATAAGAATATGAACTATTGATAAAAAAATGTAGAGAATAAACAATCATCAGTCAATAACTAGTAAACATTTTAAATGTCATTGCACTCTCTATATGCAATATTTTATATTATTGCGTAGTCATACAAATTTCAAACGGAGATTCTTTTTTCATATAATACTAGATGTCGACCGCAAATAAAACCTTAATTAGTAGCATATGTGTGCCAGGCTATGTTCTACATCTATGCCAAATTTCAGCAAGATCCATACATCTGCTCTGGAGATCAATCCAAACATTCGCAATTATAATATAAGTAAGATTAGATTTTCTCTGCGTCATGTTTTTTTTGTGAAAATTAGGTAAGACTTTTTATAAGTCGAAAATTACATATTTTCTTTCGTTTTAGTTTTTGTAGTGTCTACAACCTAATGCCCTTGTTTATTTGCTAGGGTCAAGTGACTGTTATGATAACCCTTTGCATGTTTACTTGCAATCTGCAATTGTCTTGCAAGGTACATCAGTACTCAAGAAATCTTCGTCTCGAACAGTCAATATGTTGCTAAAACTTGCTATTATCGGAGCTCTAATATTTCTCTGTGTTAAAATGTTAAAACAAAGGAGATGTTTTTATTGTAATTAAGAAAGGAAATATGGTGATATATATGGTAAAAAATTATTTTACAATCTTTTTCATTGTCCGTTCTAATATATTGTAATGATATTTGGTGTAATTGCTTAACAAATTGTGTTGTAAAATTTTTATCTTTCTTGTTAGATTTTAATCAATGTATTAACATATATTTTTAATATTTAATATTTATAGCTTTTTTAGAACCTAACATACTGGTAACTTTTAAAAATTTTTATTAATATTTGGACATAATTGCAAAGCAACATAAAAAAACTTTCGCTTGACTGTCTAATTAGGAAGAGACAGAAGTGACAAAAATACTTTCATCTCTCTTACATTACATACGACAAGACATAGAGTTGTGTTGATTAATATTTTTTGTTAGACGGAAATCGATAGAGTTGTTACAAATAAATATTTTTTCTTCGCCAGGACATCCATAGAGTGGTTATTAATTAATATTTTTGTCGTACAGGAGGCGCTAGCGTTGATCAGTGAATATTCAGAGGCGGGTATAACAGTGCGCGGTACATACGTGCCGACGGGGAAACCACCACCGGAAGGCGAGAGGAAATTATACCTCGCAATAGAAAGCTCCCAGGAACTTGCCGTCGCTAAAGCCAAGTCTGAAATAACAAGACTCATCAAAGAGGAACTACTCAAACTGCAGTCATCAGCACACCACATGATCAACAAAGCGAGATACAAAGTTATATAGCTAACCAATAAATTGCGCCTCCGATAATTTGTTTTATTTCTAGTTTAATGTCTAACTGTGGCTCTTGACTACAGTGATACTTGTATCAATAATTATTGTAGTAGGCAAAGAGAATAATATGTTAATAATATACATGTCATTTAGGCTAGTTCTATGATAAGAAGGGTATAAATGAATGGAAGAAATTAATTTATGTAACAATAGATATAAAAGTTCTCTGAAACAGCAAACAGTAATTACATTTGTGATGTATTTTTATTAAACTAAACCTCTAAGATAAGTTGTATCCAAATTAATTTATTTTAGTGTCACGCTTAGCATGATGTCTACTAGCCTGCTGCCTAGTTATTAATTACTAATTAACTGGATAAACATGTTATAAACAAGTTAAAATATGGTCTATACTTACAGTACTTTTTAAGATATGACATAGTATTTTTTGTTAGTATATATAATATTTTGATGACTATTAAAACGATTGCACTTTTAAAATATTATTGGTTACTACATACTAGTTCTTTTATGGTATTTAGTGATCCTCTCTAAGCATCCTGCCTAAATTGAATAGCAGAAAAAGATTACGAAATACTGTTGTTAATTGTAGAGAGGCGCTGGTATATTACATTAGTGCTCTTGGCAACCAATAAACTTGACTCCGAAGATCTCGTAGAATCAGTAATCAATACATTTTGGAAGAAAACCAAATCGAATCGTGACTTAGACAATCATTTCAATTATTTTTGTTAGTGAATCTACGTGAGATCCCTATGGACGATGCATAGAAGCGAGAAATCTCCTATGAATTCAAGAAGTATTCAACGCCGAAGTTACTCTTTGCTATGATTTTTATGTCAGGCGCTTATGACATATTGTTATCTTAGTGGAAATATTTATTCAAACCGTAATCAATTTCTCTCTCTCTCTATAGTACCTATCCTATAAATAAATCATTAAGATAATGAGAAAATTACGACGTGACAATAACATTTCGAGCGGAGAATTCCGATTGATAAGGTCTGAGCACGTGTTCTGGGAACCGAAGATAGTAATGTCAATAAGTGTAACATCCTTTCGATTATAAATAACTCCGAGAACAAGCGTGGTGTGTGTGGTGCGGGGGCGCCGTCGCTATCGGGCGGGTTATCGCGCGCGGGAAGATTCCAGCGCAAACAACAGCCAGGGCTGCGACTCTGTCTGTTACTTAACACATGCAGGAAACAAACACGGAAGACAAGCCCTGGGTCATCGATATCATGATTATTATAAATCTGTAACAAACATGTTATATATATAAAACATAATTATTTATATTTCAACTTGAAATATTAAAACTTCATAAATCTGAACAGCTAATTATTCCATCCAAAAAATGTATTAACGACTATTAAAAAGTCCTGTACCTTGCTAGGAATTCTAAATCGAAAGGCAGAGTATTAATAATTTCATGGAATCTTTACATTATTTCCTATTTTCTTTGGTTTTTTGTAAATGCATTTTCATAACTTTTTGCTTAGAATATTTTTGTAAAGACCTCTTGTATAAAAAATACCCCACTTTTCTCCTTACTCCTTACCTTACTCCATTTCCCATATCTGGGTTCAAAACATGTTTATCACTTATGATTTTTAAGTATCAACGCGGCCAAGGCAAAAAACGATTCTTGTTAATAACAAAAATTAAGTCACTAAAAATAAACGCCTTAAATAGGAACGCATCTTTACAGATAACAAATTATAAACCGAAATAGTTTGTTAACTGTTTTAATTTTTCACAAGAACAAATTCTTAGTTTCATTAAAATCACTACATTAGGAGTAAAAATTGTGTAATTATTTAAATACTTTTATTTAATTTTAAGTTGTCACTAAGTCACCTTTTTGATCCTGCGTATCAAAATTATAGTGTAGTCATTTCATTATCAAAGTGATGTTTTAATCAGCGCTCGTCAAATGTGTCGAGAAGTAAATTGAATTTCTTAAAATGAAAATATAAATGTTAATGTTTAAAAGAATTATGAAATGAATCTTCTGATTTAGTTATGTTTGGTCTAATATATCAAAGAATCAATTTTTTACATTACTTCACATACTAAGATTAAGAAACAATATTCAGATGACAAATATACTCGTAGTTACTTTTTCTTAGTCCAAGTCAAGACATAAAAAATATTATCAAACGTAAAGGGTCGCGTCGTTCGTTGACAGTTTTATCTTTCGCACAATTAAATAAACTTGATACGATAACATTGTATGACGTATAAAGTGTTTTGTGATTGATTTCACCTTATTTTGAAGAATAAAGTAAATATTTCAACTACGCAATGAATTGTCTAGCACAATGCTCTGGTTATTTGGAGAAAAACAAATCGAATTGTAATTATTTTAAATTAATATATTAGATCAATCAAATAAGATTTCCAGTATTCCAAATATGCCAATGCTGACAGAATTGAATAGTTGTGACTGTTCAGTTACTAATTTTTAGTATAGTTAAATGATTTCTCATTTGTTTCTTTCAGTCGACTCAATGTAAGTAAGTTAGAGTAATAATTACCATGTTTAAAAAGTACGCAAGTAATATAACTAACAAATAAACGAATTAACAATTATTTAGGTATATTAACTTGATATAAAGTTAACACAGAGGCTGACTAACATATGAATGAGGTTCTAAACCCCTCCGATGACGAATAAAAACGTCATGCATCTGCTAATCGTACCCATTTGCGGATGCTGACCGTACTACAACGCCGCAAGCCCTAGTATACGTCATAGCTTACGTCAGACCTGCGTCATCTTGTTGTAAAGTGGTGCAAGACATTTCATGACGTACCGGTTTGATTCGATGGATGACGACTATTGCTCGCGTGCCCACTGCACGTGACTTAGAGAAGTGATAAGTTTCACCACTAGGCTTCGAATCTATGAAAGTGTATGATTTTTAATTTCATATAAATACAATTGTTAAAATTATAACTCGAATTCATTCAAAAAGCTAGATAAAGAATTAAGAGCGATACAACGCATAGTGGTTTGCAATGTTAATTAAAAACATCCTGTTTGTACTCTCCTGAATGTTTTATTGCTATTGTTTTGAACATTTATTAATTTGTTTACTTAAATTATTTGCACAAGACTCAATACAATGTAAATGACGTTTGTCGTCGATAGACGTACATCTATTTACAACTTGTTGCACAACTTTGTCATAATTAGCTCGCTATCGTTCAAAAAACGGCTGACGTCACAGCGTTAACGCGCTTTGCTATAAAGTAAACCTAAAATAATATAATGAGTATTCTGAACCACAAGGTTTAAGGATATTCGTAGTAATTGTAGATGGATTAATTTAATTCATAATTATATTATGCTGATGAATCTGTGTTTACCGCAAGTTTGTTAAATATGTTTGCAGCTAATATGTGTATTACGTTTTCTAGGTATATATATATACCAGCATATGAAGCAGTTTTGAAATCGTTTTAAAAGTCATGGTGATACGGGGCATGTTCACGTGACGTTTTAAGACGTCATTTTGGAATATCTTTATGTTTTTATGAGGATTCATTAGTTATCATATGGTAATAGTTTATTTGTGTACGATTACCTAATATTGACGGTAATCAGATTCTTGTGACTCGCGAAAAATGTCGGACTAGTGCTTGACAATTCCGACTTGTAATTATGTATAGTCTATTAAAAATTTGTATGGGACATTTCTAGAAGACTCATCATTAACTAACTAATCGTCCCAACTGATCTTGGGCTCTGAGCCTATCCTAAATTAAAAGTGACTAAGCCATAGTCAACCACGCTGGTCCAGTGCAGCTTGGTTGACATATCTTTCTAGAAGACGATTTTTATATTTTTTATGCAATACTTCAATGTGCTTACAGCAGTTCATCAAATCAATTTCCTAGACAACTTAAGTTGCTAAGCGAATTTTTATGTTTTGTCAGATGTCTAGTAAATAAAAATACAATTACTTTTTTTTAATTCCCGGGAAAATTCTCCCTGGTTTTAGCATTGGTTTGAACGTTGATCATTTGATGACCAGACGTGAATCTATGTTAATACCTAAACAGATATGATTACATGACGAAATATTGCGTCACTCGAGACAAGTAAATTAAACAAACAAGTGAAGGACAATCGAGTGTCACCTCAACGCACATGACCGATTTATTGTGTGTTTATATCGTCCAGTTTTCCCAAATATATTAAAATGATGACTATTTTTGGTAAAGATACGCGAGGAAACAAACGCTTGCTACTCGTGCATGGTTTTTCCATTTTAAGCGCAAAAATATTATATTTTAATTGCATACTTTGACGACTGGTTTATTAAGGGTCAAATAATTTATGACGTCACCTCATCGTCGCACTGACGTGCTTGGAGCCTACCCAAATTAGTGACTAGGCGATAGCCAACAACACTGGCATATAAAGTATATTTCAGCAGCTGTAATTTCTAAATTACAGTATCAAAATAAAACACTAATATGTTTAACTTGTCTTAAAAGCCATCCGTCGGTTAGCAACAATACCAACAGTTTATCTGGAAATATCCGCGGTATCAGAAGTGTTTCGCAGCATGATAAAAGTCACATGTCGCGGCCTAAGGCACGAGTCAACTACAGAATTATTTATAAGTAGGTATTTTGGTAGTTGATAAATTAAGATAATGTCATTGAAGCTAACATATACTATCACACAATGGTCTTATTTATAGAAATTTGTCGAACAAATGCTATGGAAATTTGTCTCCATTGATATTCAAAATTGAGCAATGTTTAAATTAAGTTACAGATAAGAATGTTACGGCGATGATAAATGTTTAGTTACGATATTCTTATACATCATTTTATAATTCATTACACATGTTTACACACACTTTTTACACACATACACATATTTTTAAAAACATTCCTGTCCCAAAATTACAACTTGCCTAACCCTAACAAATTGCCTAATGCTGTAATCAATGTCTACAATTATTGATTACGTTGGTTACAGGTTAGCAGTG